GCCTTTTCTCATAAGGAAGGGTTCCTGGGTGAAATTCCCATTTTAGGCCTGGCTTCTTTAATATGGGGTTGGGTTTTTTTGGTGGCTTTAGAAGAGGATTGGCTCCTCTTTCCTGAAAAAAAGACGTGCTAGAGCACGGGGAGCAAGGATTTACTGCCAAAGAGAAAAACAAAGGCACAATGGGTGTCTCTATTGTTTCTCCCAAGATCCATGCAGGCTCGGAGGTGGCTTTTCCCGAGAGGGCAGAAGGAAGGAGCCCTGTTCCTCTCCGGCACCTCTGTGTTTGATGGTCTCCCTCCATTTCATGGCCTGCTCTTAATTCCCATCTAATCACCCCTGCTGTTTGGGCTGTCAAAGGAGATGGCAGAAAAGCCAGGACTGTTGTTTACCCAACTGGCCACCATAGGGCCTGGCGTGAGGCTCTTCATGGCTCTTCCGTAGCCCTCGAGGTAGGTGGAAATGGCCAAACCCCTTCATTTTATGCAGCGCATCCTCCTGTGGAGGGCAAGCGACCTGTTTCCAGAGGCAGCAGGGGGGTTTATCCCAATTGATTGTGGGGGGGGCTTATAAAAAAAAAAAGGGGGGTATTTTTTAAATGTAAGCACTGTGGTCTGCAAATTCTAAGCTTGCAGGGGGTCTGTGGTGCGAGGCTGCTGTGTTGTGGCCCAGCGAGAGGCCAGGCAGCATTGCGGCAGCCATTTTAAGGAGCACTGGGAGAGAAGGCCGTGGTGGCGCATGGGCCTCTGCAACTCCGCTCGTGCCGCTGGTTTTTGTTCGAGGAGCACAGGGATTTTAATTGTCTGCTCTGGTGAAAAGGATAATTAAGATTCCTGGGGTATTATTATGGCAATGGAAGTCAACCGTTGCCACGCAAAGCCTTTTCTTGATACATAAACAGATTTGGCTTCAGAAGCTTTTGTGTCAATTTCAGGTATGATCACCCCCCAGTTGCAGAATTTCTTAGCTAAGAAATTTTTTTTCACTTAAATACCAGATGAAAACCACTTCAGTTCATCCAAAAGATACTCCCTTCCCATATCTTACTCCTCCTTTTCTCAATTAGCATTGCTTTCAGAGCATCAGCTGCACTAGGTACTGAAATTCCAATCAAACCAGGAACCCAATTAGCATCAGCGATGCTGCTGGAGGAGAACCCAGCTGTGATTTAGGAAAAAGACAGAAAAATTGCCTCAGTGATCCACGATATTTCAACTTTCCTTTTCTGGAGAGATGGGTCACAGAGAATTTCAAGGTTATTTTATAAAGCACAGAGAGGGGCGGGGGCAGAGGGGGAATAAGCATCTACAAAAGAATCTAAAGCACACAGCACAGAGTATGGGCCAAATAATATGCTCCAGTGACCATTTTCCTTCATTTGAACCAACGCATCCAGCCCTGTTTGCGATGGGGGTGGGGGCGTAATCGCCCCTAACCTCGCTTTTCTTCCCAAATCTTATTAGACCTGCCTGATTTTGTGGCTGGAACCCCCATCACATCTTCCAGCCCCCATCTTCCAGCAATGGCTATGAAAATAAACTGAATTCCCACCAGCCAAGTGTTTCCCCTCAGCACAAAGCAGTACAAACTCACACCAACCATAGAAATGTACCAGTTTTATTACAAAGGTTCTCAAAATTCAAAATAAAAGCATCTTTAAAAAACCACAATATATTTCCCCCCCTCCCTCCCTCTCCCAGACACAAAGATACACTGATCTCTCGCTTCACATACAAACACTGAAGAGCAGGAGTGACACGTCACTCGGATTCAAAGAGACTAAAAAACTTCACGGTGGAAAAGGGTGGGGGGGGAAGTATTTTAAAAAAATAAAACATTTAAAAAAATAACCTGTGTTAAGTTAGCAGCATTATTAGAGTTGAACCCATCAGCAGCGCTCCGTGGGAGGTACAGATCCTCTGCTGGCCAGAGGAATCCCCCTGAGAAAGGAGTCAAAAAAAAAAACCGCCCGCACAACTTCTGCAAAGCATTTCCACCAAAAAGCTCGTCTAACCATCAGCTGTACAACACGAGACGCAAAAGAAAGGCCAGTCCTGGTCACGAAAGACTTTTGGGTGTGAGATAATGTGTAGGAGTAGGAAGAGGAGTAGTTATAAAAAAAAAAAAACAAACGTACAGAGCCCCATCTGCTGTTCCCTTGTAATGATAACAGCTCTGAGGGGCCGATAAAAAGGTTCCATGTATTTACTGGCCTTGAGAGCAAACGACAGGAAAGGTTCAATTTGAAAAGATTTATACTTCAGAGTTTTTCAGTGAGTGACACAAGCCCGGATTGGTCTTTAGTTGGGAATTTCTGCGGTGGTTTCAGCCCAGGACACGGAGTGGGGCTGAGGAAGCACATCCCGGCTCATGTAGCCGAGGGCAAACAAGCAGGAAAAGCAAAGCAGGCGGTCAAAGGGGCAGTAACTCACTTCCTCCTGCAAAAGAGGGGCGTAGGTATAGAAAAAAAAAGGTATAAAAACATCATCATCCCTTCTCTTCCTCGAGACGCATAGATGCTGCCACACCAACTGGATGGGTGAGATCTTGGAAAACGGTCACCACCACGTTCGGGTGATTTTCATGTCACATTTTCCCCGATCCGTGCCCACAGGGCTCTGGGGCTGATTCACCAAAGCGCTTTTTCAGGTCGCTTTTAAGCTGCTTCAATCTCTTTCCACAAGTTTGCTGCAGGGAGGTAGCCAACTCTATTCAAGAACTGCATTATTTGACCCTGAGAAGCGGCACCAGCTTGCAGTTACTCGCCACGGTGGAATCAAACTGAAGACCGAAGGAATAGTCAGTCTCTCACAGGCTTCGTTTGGGAACTCAGATTCTCCCCAAAAAAAAAAAAGAAAAAAAAAAAAAAGAAAAAAAAAAAAAAGAAAAAAAAAAAAAAGAAAAAAAAAAAAAAGAAGAAAAAAAAAACCAAAAAGAAATTTCATGGCCATCTTTCCACCTAACCTGAAATGCAAATACTACTTCTTCTACTTAAATTATTCTTTTCCAAGGGTGGTTATTTCAGGAGAGAGTAAAGAAAGGAAGTGATTTTTTTCGACACACTAAGGAGAGGCAGTGGAAGGCAAGAGTGAAACTTCCCAGTCACCAAATCTGGGCAGTGCAGGTCTGTCTACTCCGCAGAATCCTCCCTGTCTGCTCCCAGCGGAGTGCAGCAAGGAATAATTTACAGTTCTCAAGTCATTTATATATTTATATAGAAATATATACAGAAACATATATAAAATATAAATCCTGTGGAATGGGAGGCAACCAGAGAAGCTAAACCTACGACAACTACGCACTGACAGGTACTGTCCAGCTGCAGCCATCTTAGGTGGATTTTGTCTCTTCCTTCACCCTGTGGAAGCAAACAGTAAAGAATTTGGTCTAAAACAAGCAATTTGGGTGGTGCCTCAGCTTTAATAATGAGCCAGAGCTGGAACCTTAGAAATGGTGCTTATATGGCCCACTTGTACCACGTTACTGAACAAAAGCACTGTATTTTTAAGCTCTTTTCACTGAGGGCTCTGCTCTCCCAGGGCTTTATCAGATGTGCTGTTCTCCATGTGCAAACTTCTTCCCTGACAAACCACTACATCCCTCCTCCAACCCCCTCACTCACGTTGTGCAACACCGACCGAGGGCATGGGGAAACGCACAAGGAAGTACAGGCACAGCCATTTAATGGCTACACCAGAAGACAGGGCTCACCCTTTGGGTTCTGCTTTCTCCTCTTTTGCTTTTTCCTCTTCTTTCTCATCTAGGGGGGGGAAAAAAGCAGACATAGAGGTAGTGCAGTAGGAAAATACACACCAGGCAAAGTTCCACAGAGCTGGGAGGTCTCCTAGTCCCAGCTCTCATTCTTACCCTTCTTCTCCTCTTCTTCCTTTTCCTCTTCTGTTTTCACACGCTTAGCTTTCTTAAAGTTGGCAACGTTTTTGCGCCCTCCTTCCCCTTCGTCTTCAGAGTCGGAGAATTCTTCATCGCAGGATATTCTCTTATCAGAGTTGCGGACTGAGGAGGAGAGGTTGGTTGAGCAGATTTAGCAGTCAGGAGACACCAAGCACCACCACCTCCAAGTACATCTACACACCGGAACAAACTAACAAGCCTACCTAAGTCAGAATTAAGGCCACGATAAAAACCACTTTATCTTTCTACCTGCCGTATCTTTTAACCCATCGCTCCCGACTGCTCACGCCCCAGATCCAGGATCACAGGCAGGACTTGGCTGAGGTACAGCGTGATGCCTCGACTTGACAGCGTAAGCAGGAACCAGCCTCACACCGCAGAAATCTGTCCACCAGATCTAAGGGCCACCAGCCAATCTGGATCTGAACGAGCATTTTCACTGCGGAAGACAACTCCTGGGATCAAACCTGACAGCCGCCCAGAGAGTATTCCGTCATAGCACCTACACCACAGGAACTGTCTGAATTCTCACGTTAAAGCCGATTATGGAAATCATCCCGCAAAAGCACCGTTCCTCCAAGGGAAAAGAAATCTGTAAGCGCTGCAGCGCTCAGCATCACTGCTTTATCTTATGAAATAGATAAGAAAGGTGGGAACCAATTCAAACTGAAGGACTCCAGAGCAGAGATATATCTAAATCATATAGCCTCCTCTCTTTACTGAGGGAACTCAAGTTTAGAGCCTGCACCCTTCCCCAGGTAACTGATCCTGTTTGGTTTTGCACCCACAGGCTCCGAACAGTACAATTCCCAGCTGGGGAATGCAACCACGCCAGAAACAAGCACATACTTGAAATGCGTTTCTCAGGATCTTCTTCCTCTTCATCTCCACTGTCTTCCTGAACAGCATCCTCAGGAATTGGCTGCATCTGGACTCCAGGGGCATGAGGCAGCATGCGCAGGTTCTCAAAGAGACGCTGCCTAGAGCCAGCAGGGAAAGGAACACCTCTGTCAGCAAGATGCCCCCTTCCCCCCAGCAGAAGGGGACGGTCTCGCAAGGAGGAGCAAACACTTACTTGATCTTCTCAAGATACTCGTTGGTATTCTGGTTAGTCATGTTCGAGGGGCTGATGTGGAGCTTAAAGTCTGGTCCAAAGTACTCAAAATAGTCATTATATGGAAGCTCTGCAGGCAAGTGAAGAATAAACACCAAATTATTGCTGGGCCGGTGAGGAAATACCACAAACATGATACTTCTACAGAAAAGCACAACTGCATGTACCGAGGCATAGGAGCCGAAGCTCTCCCAGCCCAAACTGAGATCAAAGCAGACAACTTAGCAACACTGCAGTCAAAGCTTACTTGGGCAGTTAAACACTACCAGCGCACACAAAAGTTTTCAGTAGAAGGCCATCTCATCTCAGTAAGACGGGAAGGCTGCTGGGTACCTTTTGCTGGATGGGAGAGCTACAGGACTAGAACGCAAACCTGCAACTCAGGACATCCAAAAGCTCTTCCACAGTGATAATCAAGAGCTAATGAAACATCTTAGGGGTGCCACCTCCCCCACAGCACCATCAGTTCCCTGAGCTTTGCTACTAGAATGTCATTGTCCCTTAATCTTGCTTCAAAGGCTCCTGGGAGAGTTACCATTGGGAATTTCAGTGTCCAAAGCCACAGCAGTCTCGTAGGTCCAGCACCTAGCCACATTGCGGATCGTATAGCCACCTCCTCCCAGCATCAGCATAGGCAAATTAAAACTTTTTACAAACTCCACACACTTGGCATGACCTGCAGGAAAAGCAGAAGGGGAAAAGGCCATAGCCCCACATTATGAGAAGAACAAACTTTTCAATTAAACTTTAATTATATCATTGGTGCCAGTTCAACACAGGCACTCTAAGGTTCTCTCACCTTTGATGGTCAGATTAAAACAGCCCAGTCTGTCCCCCGACAGAGAATCCGACCCGCACTGCAGGACAACTGCGCTGGGCTGGAACGTCTCCATCACTTTAGAGATCACCTAAACAAGAAGCCCGTTGTTACACGCTCTCCGCAGGACAGTGACACAGCAACACAGCAACGTCCATGTCAGCAAGCGACACGAAGACATCCCCAGTGTTCCCACAGCTGCTGACTCCCCTACACTGGTAACAGTCAGGCTCTTACAAAGAGAAGCTTACAGACGACAGGCTGCAATTGTCAGGGAGGAATATCGCCCCTGAAGGGTATTATCACAGAAGACTGAATGAATCTCCCCAAAGAATGGCTCCATGAACCACCCAGTGACAAATATGATCCACAAAGGATCACGCAAAGCAAAGATGTCTTCACTTACCGGTTTGAATATTGCTTCATAGGACTCATCATCGATTCCGTCCCGCAGGGGGTAGTTGACAGCGTAGTACTTGCCTTTGCCTGCACCAATATCCTGTTAGAGAGAGACAGGAGAGACCCCAGGTCACCAGACATGTAAATTGTCCCCCACACCAGGAAGGGAAGGCTGGGATTCCTTCAGTGTGACCCAAACATGAGCCCAGGCCCTCACGGAAAGCGCTGTCCCGGCAGAGGCAGCAAGAGCCAGTTGAGTTCAACAGCAGCTTATTTGGCATAAGCAGCTGAATTCGGCCCTTGGTGCTCAGAGAAGAAAAAAATCTATAACTGTCACTGCTTTCACATTGCTGTGAGCACACGGGCTCTCGCTGCACGGGCAGAAGCCACTCTCTTACACGGCAATAAAACCAGCAGCCAAAATTCCAGTTCCAAACCTGTAGACTCTGCAGAGACCAAAATACCAGCTTGGGCTGACCATGCAGACTAGTAACCCAAATAATCTATTTTTACTTTAAAATATATGCATTTTTACATTTCCATTATCTTTCTCATACCCAAGTGTTTTATAAAAAAAGTAGTTACTTCATTTATGCTGCGGAGTGGCTGCAGCAGGAAAAAAATGTCAGTGCCTCACGCAAGTTCACATCACTAGCTCCAAACCCTGGGAATTTAGATCAGAAAATTGTAACTCCACTAAAAAGCACATTAAAAAAAAAAAAAAAAAAAAAAAAAAAAAAAAAAAAAAAAAAGTAAAGAACCTTTCAGCCCTGAGAAGAGCATTCTGGCAATGTCAGAAGTCACAAAGCAAACCACACCTTGAAAGAGCGCCACAGTTAACACGACTCATTAACGTGCAGAACTGACTCACAGGAGGAAACGCCAACAAGATAAACCAAGACACACAGAGCTCCCTCATAAACCTTCACCCAAACGCTCCCCTGACCAAGCTTAGTTTGCAAGTACTCACAGATGACCAAAGTGCCACCCTCAGAGTCACTTTTCTGAGCATAATCCCACCAGAAAGCTGCTAAGAGACTGACAGCAAAGCCTTGGTTTTACTACTGAACAGGCCACAATTGCAGGAACAAAGCACCCACACCAAGGGCTGAGCCGGCTGCCTCGCTTACACTCCTCTGCCCTCTAAAAAAGGATCCTACTTTGATTTTAGTTAAATTAGTACCACGGCAAACAGATGGGAGAGACCAAATTTGAAGGTAATTTTCTGCAAAGCTCTCACCCGTAGGTCCCCCGTTCCCGGGAAGTACTCTCCGTACTTATGAAAGGACACGGTCATGACACGGTCGGTGGTATAAAAGGCTTCCTCCACGCCGTCGCCGTGGTGAATATCAATGTCGATATACAGCACCCTCTGGTGATACCTGGGATGAGAAAAAAAGTCAAAAGGCTGCATTTCTTCAGAGCAGGAACTGCATTCACCAGCAGAGCAAGGAACTTGGTGCTAATCCCCAGGCTGCACAGCCACCAGCCAGAGCCACACAGGAAAATAAAGTGGCTTTTGCTGCCGCAGCTGATGTTTGAAGGCAGACCCGGTTTATTTAGACTCAGCCAACAGACTGTATTTTTATGTCCAGGCCTCCCACTGAGGTTTCCCTTGAGCCAAAAGCTGTCACAGATTAGAGCTGTGCCCCCTTTTCCAGGGTGGATGGTAGAGAGAAAGGTCTAACCTCCAGCAGAGAGGGTACCGCATTCCAAATAATAGCTGATTAAGCCCTCCCAGGAAAATACAGTTAAAAAAAAAGCAGCAAAAAAAAGCAGACTGGGAAGAAAGCGCTAAGGACATAGAGGAATAGACAAACAAAAGGGGTAAATGGTACTGCCCGTACTTTAGGAGCTCCAAGATAGCCAAGACGATATCATTGACATAACAGAATCCAGAAGCCTCTGACTTTTTAGCGTGGTGAAGGCCTCCCGCCCAGTTCACAGCAATGTCTGTCTGCTGCTTGTTCAGCTTCACGGCGCTGGCTGTCGGGAGAATCACACAGTGTTAGTACCAGAGCAAAGGCCCCAGGACAGAGACCCAGGGGCAGAGCACGGGTCCCTCACGATCACATCATCGCTCGTGCGTGCGTTTGGGCACTTCACAGAGAACAAGCCCAAGGGTTTAACGCTGGATGTCTCAACAATCTAAGAAAAGGCAAGGGAAGAGAAAGGCAGCCTCTGTTTTGCCTGCACACACTTTTCACCGCTTCCCACGTTTGCCTCAGAGCACGAAATCTGCACAAACCAGTCCCAGCACCCTGGCTGGGGTCACAGCTGAAGACAGCTTAGATTTCTCCGTGCCCTGAATGAAAGATTTTTAATGAAAGGTTTTACCCAACATACATTTAGGTCATTCACTGAATATGCATTTAGGCAAAGGAAGTTCTCCTCCCCCAGGCCCTTCATAAACTTTCTGCAAATTTTGCAGGTCTCCCAAGATCGAAACGAATGATCTGTTCTGTGGAATCTCCGGCCTTGGGAGCAGAGACACTTCAAAAAATGCTGCAGTCAGTACTTGTACGTATGGCTGAGCTGTGTTACAGGAAATAAAGCCTTCTAGATGTCACTGTGGGAGTAGCAGCCACAAAGCTTTAACGCCTGTGCACTAACACAGTTCCGCAACACCCAGCATTTCTGCAAACAAAGTATGTGAAAACAGTGAAAGCATTTTAAATGTTCAGGTTTGCGTTCTATTTTGCCTCCTGTCCAGAGACAGTGGCTTTTTGATAAAAAGCCCAGATAAAGCTACCCTTTTCTTTAATTTCCAGGTTACACCCGCCCAGAACAAGGTTCTAACTTTTTTTTTTTGTCTGTAAATCTCATGTTGATTTTTTTATTAAACCCCTGTTGCTGCTGCGGTTTTGTTTAAGTCGTCGTACCGCTTACAGAGTCCTTCGCGTATTCAGTGAATTAACTTGGACTAGTGAAGATAATCTAGAGGGATCTGTCAATATGCAGGGCTTGAACTGTAGCATGGGAAAAAAAACCCTGCATTTAATTATTAAGGAAATCAGAAAGAGGTTGACAGGGCTTCCCCACAATTTATTTCTGAATTTATTTATGAACAGAAGGATATTACATGCATCTGCTTAAGAGAAACAGAAAAGAAGGTAGGACTTGTGAGCTTACCAACTGAGCCCCCGGCAGAGAGCTGACAGAACTCAAACAACCCATCAAACACAGGGCAGTCTTCCCCAACGTTAACTTGGAAAGAAAACAAAGAAGAGTTAGTGAGACGAAACCACAAATAAATGGCAAAGCTTATACCACTGCTCTCATTTAAAAAGCTAAACAGGTGAGCCATCAAATGTTTTAAACAGTGGCATATGGCACACAAATGATAAAATATTAACGTAATCAACCTGGGCATTGTCTGAGGAGGCAAAGAGGTTGCTGCTGTGGGGAAGATGCTCCTGATTTGTAAGAAAAGAGGAAAGCCAGGAGCTCTGGCGAGAACCGCACGCCATCTACCGGGGTGCTCCTCGAGGGACCCAGAAACCAGTCCATCCCGCTGGAAAACGAGAGGGCGGAGAGGAGATGCCATCAACAGGAGCTTTGTAACACCCGTCCTCATCCTGGGCAGCAGCTCAAGCCATGTGTGTCCAGACAGCACATTCACAGTGTTCTCCACTCTGGCAGCACGTGCTGGTCACCACGGGCTGCGCAAAAGCGGGGCCAGCACCCCTGGCCACCCCACACGGGCCACCCCACAGCCCTGCTGCCCGGGAGCCGTCACTTTTGGGGGGGATATTGCTGTTTCCCACCACAGAGCTGACCCCAAGCTCCCTTACACAGCCCTGCAGAAAGCGGGAAAGGATTTTGCTCTCATTTCCTGCTGTGTTGCTGACAAGGAGCTGAGAAAGCAGAGTGTCAGCTCTGCAGGAGAAAGCGGGGAGGTGGCAGACAGTGGTGTGTACTGGACAAGGAGTTTATGTCCACATCTGTTCTGTTACACCCTCTACATCCCTTCTACTTCACATCAGGCAAATTTTAAGTTCTCAGCAGTAGTTTTGGCCTGGGTAAATTTCTACCATAAACAGTTTCATGCTTATAAGCAACAACAGACTTGTACTGAATCTAGATTTTGCAAGATTTGCTTTTACAAACAACAACAAAACCCCGGTATTTTTTATAACAACATCTGTAGAATGTTTACTTCTGTGCTTAGTGAGAAAGGCCCAAACAACACAGTTCTTGCAGCATTAGAAACTGGTCAGCGCAGAGTCTCCACAAAGACTGTGTGATAAGGGAGGCTGAATGGTCCCAGTTCGGGCCAGGGATCTCTGGAAAGGACAATACCCAGCAGGAGGCCCAGAAGGAAGCAATTGTTCCCACTTCCCAATTGTTTCAGCAGGGCATGGAAACGGGCAGAGTTCGAATAATTAATTCTAAGAGGTGGTTGGAAGTTCTCCCTGTTAAGTGAGGAGAATTGAAGTCATCAATTTCTGCCCACTTCCCATCACAACAAATTAAACTTCTTGCCCTTTTGGTTACAGAGTGTCTTCCCAAGTCTCCTCAGGCAGGAAAAAGGCCATCAGCAGAATCAAATTAGAGACTGCTAATTACCTTTGCTGCCCGATCAGAACTTAGTGGGCAGCACTGACAGTATTTGAGGGCATCCCTCTGCTACACCTGGCAAAGACTTCTGTGTAAACAGAAGGCAATTGGGCTTTTTCCCATCAGGAGATTCAGAGCAGCCAGGACTACTAATGAGGGGTGTTAATAACAGGGGCCAATCACTTGACCGTACGCAGAAAGCTCTGGAGGAAGAGGAGAGGCAGATGCTCCTTCTTCCCTGCAATGGGTGGGTGATGAGATCTGTATCTGGGAGAGCCAAACCAGAGAGAGAAAAGCATTAAAGGTGGAAGCATCCTTGTGGAAGCATCCTTGTGGAAGCCCCAGCAGCTTCCTCCCCACAAAGGGACGGCTACAGAGACCCACCACAGCACTTGGGAGAGGTCACCTCATCCCCTCAATCCCTAATCTCCGTTCTGAGCCTCCTCTGCTAGTTCTCTGGCCACACAGAGGCTAGTATTTTGCAGGTCTCATTGAAGAAAAGCTTTGTCCTACACACGTTTTAAGATTATTTTTCAGATTTTGCCTCCTTCAGGTAAAAATAGTTCTGTGGCAGTACAGTGTAGAAAATGTTGACTACCAGAGAGAGCAGAGTGGGCGTTTATGAGCTGTATCTGCTTCAGGGGTAAACAGTTCAGTTTGTGTAAATATGTACTTTGGTATATGTCATTTGTTGTATTAAGGCATATCATTTACTGTAGGAAGTCTTTCAATGTATATTACTCATGAACCTTATTACCCGTTCCTTTTCCACGCTTGTGCCTTAATATCTGTCCCCTTCAGCTCACACCAGGCTTCCAAGTGCCTCAACTTCAGACTCGAGACCTCTATTTCTTCTAAATTGGAGATTACACTTCACATAAATGAACGCCGTGGGCTAACAACTTTTTTTTCTGCTCTCAAGGGCCGCAGTGTGCAAGACCAAAACCCTGTTTTGCCTCTACTTGCTAGAAACCTGGTTTGCTGCAGTCATTGCCAAAGAATGTCAGCTCAGAATCGCAGAGAGACCAAAAAAAGATTTCTGTAACATTAAAATCACCATTAAAGAGCCCTCCCGTGGACTGGAGAGGTTTGAACAAGAGATCAGCTCACAAAAGAAAACATTTTAACACAAAGTGGACAGATATCACCATGCATCTCAACCCTTTCCCCTTTCCAAGCTGCTGTTGCCCTGAAAATCCTTCAGATTTACCTCAGATTTTGGGCACAATTGATAAGTTGGGGTTTTTTTTTGTTTGTTTGTTTCTTTGTTTTAAATTGCACAGCCCTTTCCCACCTCGACACCTCTGGTTAAAGATAAGCAATTAACACAAAATACGTGCAGGTCATAAATGGAGTAGTTTAGTCATCTCTGAGCCAGGAAGGCAATTTAGAAGAGTTTCCATCAAAAGACAAGACCAAAAAAAAGACAGTCAGGTCAAAGGTTTCTCTCAGCTCTCCTGGTATATCGGCTTGCGAGAGGGACCCATTTTTAAAAACACTTCATTTACCAGAAAAATGAAAAATAAAGTCAGGAGAAAGACAATTTCCCGTGGTTCTTTCTCCCCTCTTTATCACAAATCTCTAAAGCTGGGCTAGGATCCCCAGAACCACAAATTTTAACACTGGCAGGAGCTAAAGCTCTAGGCGCATAGCTTACATCTCTGCATCTGCTTGCTGTACTCAGACATGTTATCTGGGCGAATAGACCGCAGAAATTTTATGTAGTCGTCACTGTGGTACTTGGTCATTTCTTCTGCATTTGCCTTGTGAGGGCGCTGCAAGGAGAAAAAGAAAGGGCAAGGCTTGTTTTGAAACGCATCTCTCTCCCCTATTCCCATTTCCAATCCCAGATTTACTCCCAGGAACAGCAAAAAACCCCAAAGAGCAGCATTAAACAAGATAAACTTATTTTTGAAGGCAAGAATGCCACTACCAGAGACTGAAATGCATTACATATCTAAACAAAGAAAATAATTTAGAGGGAGAAACACAATTTTCAAGTCTCCAAAGCTTATCTGAAGCAAAGAACATTTCACTACAAGCAATCAGAAGAAAGCAGAAATATATCAGCACAACTGTTTCTTGGGTTTTTTTTCCTTTCCTCTTGGCTTATCAACAGAGAACTTATGAGTATGAAGCATCAAAATTAAAACCTGACACATCAACTAAGATCTCTCATATCTATTTCTTTTCATGACCAACCCTGCACTTACATAGATCTCCATCTTCCTGTAGAGGCCATAGTTCAGCAGTAGGTTGTGGGTCATCCGGATTCTGTGGGGTTTCATTGGATGTCCTTGGCCATAATAGTAGTTTCCAACATCACCTGGGAGCGGAGAGGACTTTGTTACAGCAGGGAAAACTATGAATTCCTTCAAAGAGAATCATGGCTGAGCCACAAGAGCCATCAGGTCATCTGTCATTTTATCTGTCCTTCAGCAGCGCAGCACGGGGATCCCCAGGGATTAATAGAAGTTTATCCCAGACTCAAATAAGACAGTCAGGTCAAAGGGTTTCCCTCAGCTCTCCTGACATTTGGAAACAAAGAATTCTTTAATGCTAATTCTGGGAAAGGCAACCCAGGTAGAGTCTGAGCAAGTACTACCATCAAGAGGAGGGAGCTCCAGCTTCCTCGGGCACTGCCTTTGCCTGTCCTCCCCCAGTCAGTGACCCTCCCCAGCGTCGTCTCTGACACCTCAACATTTAGAGCTCACGGGTTTCACCCAGAAACGCGACCGTGCTCCGAGCACAATCCCGCACGCCGGGAGACCTGCAAGTTTAATCCCAGCTCAGACAATGACTCATCAGCCTCTTTGCCTCAGTTTCTTACTCTTTACCTAAGAGAAACCAGATAAAAAGCAGCTCATTCTGTCGATAAGCAAACAGCAGCTGTAGTTTTACAGCTCCAATCATTTTCACCCTTTATTGCTTGAAATCCTTCAGAACCCCAGTCCCCACCAACTGCACACCCACACAGACGCACCCGATGAACTATTCTATGGGCACCAGCATGATTTTTTTTCCTACCCATGTAAATTTTTTTTCCTACCCAGCAAAAGCCAAGCTCATGCTGCGCTCTCCAACAGCAGGCACCACTAACTGGGTTTTTTTTGCCCCCCTTCCTCTCCCAGGGTACTTATATTCATGAAAACCTCCATAAATTTAACTTTCAGATTTCAGCCTCCCCCCTGATTTGGCTGGGAGAGGCTCAGACGACTCCAAAGTTGCCAAGAGCAGGAAAGCCCAGCCACACGCACAGCAGCGCTATCGCACAAGCCTCATTTTCTTGAGAAACCAGATGAAGTTGTTCATGTAGTTGTACCACTCCCGACGGGTTTGGGAAGCAGCAGACCCAATCCGGTCTGGCTGGTGACTCACTTGGGAGTATGAATATTTCATCACCAATCTTAACATTCAGGAGAAACTGCTATTTCCTCGCAGCGCAGAGCTGTAGTTTTTTCCTCCCGTGGACATGACCCTATTTTCAGTTCAAAGGAGACACAAACGGTGCCAATCCCACACCCAGACAATTCTGCTGCCAGAATTTACCTCTTCATGGCATTACAGGGTGTTCTTTGCACAAAGGTATTTTACTGGGGGAACTATCCCTAAAGTAAAAGGGGATTAAATCAAACTTTGGGGAACTCGGTAAGAGATGCTCAAGACCGTATCTAGAAAATACAAGCAGAGAACTACACGAAGCTTTGAAAAACCATCATCAACATCACCTTGACTTCAGACTGTCGGTGAAATGCCCTGGGCAAACCCTGATTTCCAGGGCCTGTTGGTGTTTATTCTGTTAAACACATCCCACCACCAGCCCCGCAGAGCAGTGGAGGAGCTTCTCTGCTCCTGGATGTCAGCGCAGAATAAGAGTGTGTGAACCTAACACGTCCCTCCTCCTGTCTGCTGGGGTTGAGCAAGCCCCTACACAGGGAGCTGGTAAAGGAGAAGTCACCGTTCAAGTTCCAACTCTCCCACACACCCTCAGGATTTCCATGAAGGACCTTTATGACACCCAATCACCTTTTTCCCATACATTCCACCCCACCCAGACCCTTCCCTGCAGCCCAGGTCCCTTCTCCAGCACGGTGTTAGGCTGATGGTTGGACTAGATAATCTGAAAGGTCCCTTCCAACCTCGGCAATTCTATGATTCCATAGACCCTTCCCTGCAGCCCAGGTCCCTTCTCCAGCACGGTGTTAGGCTGATGGTTGGACTAGATAATCTGAAAGGTCCCTTCCAACCTCGGCAATTCTGTGATTCCATGATTCTAGGATGCCCTCCCACCATCTGAAATGGGTGGCTTGAGGAAGAGACCCACACGCCATCCAAAACAGAGCCCAGGACCTCCCTTTGAGGAAATACCGTACTAGGCTGAGCTGCTTTAACCTCCTTGCATGGAAAATAAAAGACCCTACCAAACCAGCCTCCCACAACCACAGATTATGCCTTCCCCGACGATAACAGCACACTTTCAGCCTAGGACACGCTGTGGATGTTTGCCAGCCACTCGTAAAAGAGCCACTAAAATCTCACCACCGAGTAAATTAGCGAGGGCAGCTACAGCGGAGAGTGTGTGACGCCAACTTCGTGGAGTTACTGCGCCAGAGAGACTACGAGGACAGCATCCCCACTCAGCATTTGCACACAAAATGACTGGTTATTTCATATTTAAGACATCGCTGTGTGCCCTTAAAGATTATAGCTTGTTGGAAAACTGACGAGCTGCTTTGTGAACGTGTTATACTCCAAGGACAGGGATCCGTGTGGACATAGAGACCATTTTTTTTCCCCCAACATCCAGGTCCCATGCACAGGTACAGCATTCTGGCACTCCCTACAAGCACTCTTTAAGTTTAAATCAGGCATTTTAGGGCCCGGGGCTCCAGCTTCCACATTTTGATATGATGAGTGTTGCACGGAGATCAGTTGCACGGTGAAATTGGGCTTGGTTTTGCTGCACCCAGAGCTCTGAGCCAGACTCCTCCTCGCCCTGCCCTCCCGAGGACACCGGCTGAGTCAGAGACCCTGCAGGACTGTCACTGCGGGTCACGGACCTACCGCTTCGATTTACTGTTCTAGAGGAATAAAAGCCCTCGTTCTATGCCTGACGGAGCCTGCTTTACCGCTTGAGCACTGAGCACATCCACTTACCAGGAAAAAAAAGTAGCGAGAAAAAGTTTTTATTTGATTTCACAGACGAAAAACCACCCTGAAGTAGAGAATTGCACAATACCTTTCACAGAGAGCAATCGCAGGCTCTATTAAAAATGAGCTCGCCCATCACCGAGGCACCCAGTCGCCCCTCCAAAGGGGACGGGGTTGTGAAGGTGCAGGAGATGTGACTGTGACTTCCCCCACAGATTATGGGGTGCGAGCGGGGGAGCTGCACACCATACCCAGCCTGGGGTTTGGGCAGCTCTAACACCTCATTACTCCCCTACCCCAACAGGATGATGATACAGCCCCAAAGTGGTGCTTCCCCACCCTCATAAAAGGAAAGAACCCCCCCCCCCCCCCACACCACCACTCTGAATCAAGCCCGACTGCCA